CCCCCTCAGTGCCGGGGGCGCGCGAGCAGCCGTTAACCGGGGCGCGCGAGCGGCCGTTACCAGCGCGCGCGGCTGGCCGTTAACCGGCGCGCGCGCGAGCAGCCAATCCCGCGGCGGCGGCGGCATCAGCTCCTGGCGCACGCGCTCCGCTGAGGCAGGCGGAGCTTCGGCGGGGGAGAGGCTCCTTTGTCGGAGGGGCCGCGCCGGCGGCGGGCGGAGCCCGCGGAGGCTGTCGCCGGCTCCCCGGCCCCCTCTCTACCCCGTTCCTCCCGCCCTCCCCGGGGCGGGGCGGTCGGCGCTCCGGCGGCGGTAACAGCAGCAGCGAGCATGTCCTCGAGCAGGGCCAAGAAAGTGAAGATGGCCACCAAGTCTTGCCCGGAGTGTGACCAGCAGGTGAGGCGCCTGCCCGGCCCGCTCCCCCCCTCTCCCCGCCACCCCGAGGCTCAAGCGGCACTCTCCCATTGAACGGAAGGAGCCTGCTCTCTCCCGCCCCACCACCTCCGCCCGTCCCGAGGCGGCCCGCCGTCGGGGCTGGCTGCCGTCGCAGGCCGGGGGTGCCGCGGGGCGGTGCGGGGACAGGTGGTGCTGCCGCCGGGGCTCCGAGCCCGAGGGCAGAGTGGGAGCCGTGGCCGGAACGGGGGCGGGTGGGCTTCAGCCCCCGCCGGCGGCTGTGGGGGGCTCCGAGCCCCGGGAGTGCGGGACCCCCTCCTTCGCCCTCAGCCCCTTTTCTCCGCTGGCAGCGCCTCGGGGACCGGCTCCGCTCCGGCCTGCCCGCCTGGGGCGTGCGCTGCCCGTACCGACCTTTCGCCGGGCCGGGCGCGGTTGGGAGGCCGTCGATCATCCATGGCCCGGCCGGCGAGCGGCTCCCGGCGGCGGCAGGCACAGCCCCGAGTCCTTCGCCCCCCCTCCGCCGCCCCGTCCGATCCAGCGCTGCCGGTAGCGGGGAGAGAGAAGCCAGTGGCCGAGCTGGTCGGTTTTGAGGGAGGAGCGGGGGGGGGAGGGATAGACACACAATTAAAAGTGTCTCTCTGCCGCTGTGAAGCAACGTTTATATGAATTAAATAAGTTGCCTTCGCAGCCTCTGCTTGGAATGTGCGTTAAACACCGTGTTCCGTAGTGAAATAGCTGTACTGTCCTGGAGGGACGTGCAGAATTGTTTGTTCATGCGCTAGTATCGTTTAGTAACAACGTAATTTATTAAAAATACAATTAACTGAGTAATCTATACGATGCAGTTTGTCCTTTGAGTGACTGACGTGCCTAAGGCTCATTGGGAGAGCGTTCCGTTGTGGTGTTTTTCTCATGGAGTAGTTGAGAAGCAGCCAAATTGAGACCTTTGCTGCAATTTCTATCGTGCAGTCCAAATGTACACCTGAAGCCTTGTTTGTGTCTCGCTGCAGTTTTGTGATGTGGACAAAATGGAGTTGCTTACGCTTAAACGTTACCAACAGCTGATTCGAACTGTTACTGCCTCACAAGCTTGTTTTCATTTATCCTTTTTACTGGTAATGATGTTACTATTAAAAATAGGCCAGTTTGGTTCAGCAGCGCTCCTCTGCTGGAACAATAGCACAGCACTGCAGAAGGCTGCTGTGGGGCTCAGGGCAGGGGGAGAGAATTTTACATGTAATCATGGCAAACACGCTTCTATTATTTTTTCCTGAAACTTGGCTGGTATACGCTATTTTAGCTATGCTTAAAAAAATAATCCCGTGCTATTTTTCTTACTTACAAAAATTAAAAAAAAAAAAAAGTCATCTTATTTGTTCTGACTTGCATAGATTTTTATAGTGTTTCTACTCATCCAGGAACAGTTTGGAATGTTAAGCTGTGTGTGGGGCATCCTTTCATGTTCTAAGCAACAGATGAACCTTTGCAAATGCTCACATGTTAAGCACGTCACTGAAATACTATTTCTGAGAAGAAATTTTGTGCCAAGTTCTGGTTATTCAGTTGGTGAAAGAAGAAACAGAAATGAGTGAGGAGTTGAATATGGGATGATGGTGGGGTTTTTTGTTGGTTTTTTTAAAATAAATGTAGTGAATGTCAAACCATCAACAATAGGGAGAGCAAGTAAGCAAACATTATAGGCTTTTTAAGCTGGTGGTAAAACTTTCTGTTCTGTGTGTTAAAACTGAAACACGATATGCATATGTCAGTGTAGGTTTTCTGTTAGCAGCTCTTCTGTGGCTGACACGTAATTAATGTGCATACATGTTCCGCCTCGGCACAACCATTTCTCCTTGTTTTCCAGTGCTAAATGTTTGAGAGAGGACAAGAAACTAAAACCTACAGTACAAGTCAGCCCTTTGCAGAGCGTGGGGAAGCTCTTATGTGACTCTTAATGGTTGTGTCATGTACTAGCATTTCTTAAATTCTTCCATAAACAAGAGCTTTGCATTTGTTTCTGATTTCCTCACTCGAAGTGGCACGCATGGAAATACTTAGACGGCCACAAATATTGGAGTACAATATTGAGTAATACTTCTTAAGCTTTTAAACCTTTTCTGTTGTAATTGTCACTTAGACTTTTTTAAAATAAAAAAGAAGGTTTTTGATGATATTTTCACAACCAGAGCACAGCCCCGTTAAACTAGGGAGCCTGAAGTGCTTGCAGTTAATCAGGAGAAATTATTATCACTTCTTAATTTAGCTTCAGGTAAACTTTTTTGTATGAGAAACTCAATTTCTTTTTGGTTAGGAAAATGTTAAACAGAGTAGAAAAGTAGGATTATGTCACCTTAATAATTATATTACAGGATGTTTCCAGTGTAGGCCTTCAAAGGATAACTGGTATCTTTCAGTGAATAAGCCCCTTCCCGCCTAATCCCCCTCTAAATGACACACACACCTACCTGCCAAACCTGTAACACGAGAACAATGTTGTTCTGTTAAACATATTCAAGTTGATTGAAAAATATTGGGTCTCCTCCAATCCCCTTGGGTGCTTTTCCCCACTTTTTTTTTTTAGGCTGTGCCTGGAAATATAATTATTGGAGAGACCCAGGTGTTCAAAAATGGGCTTAAACGGAACTCCTGTATCACCTTAACAATACAAACTGTCTGCTAGATAGTTTTTTTTTTTGACTTATGTACAAGGAGATAAGCATGCACGCATGTCTGCTAAATTCTGAGCTTTAAGGTTCAATAAACCTTGGGTAGAATTGGTTTTATGTCAGTGTCTCCAAAAAGGGAATTAAAGTTTCTAGTTAGATAAAACCTGTATCAAAAGTCTTTGTAAGCTGTTCATAGGGTGAAGTACAGGAGTTGGGGTGCGCTACAGAAGGCAAAATAATTTGTTTATTCTGAGTAGCAGTTAAGTTCCCCTTTATAAGTTCACATATGAATTTTGCAGGTTTTTTCCTAGCCAGTAGAACATTGGGACTTGGTTCTTCTGCATGTCCGGTAAAATTGAGCAGGCAGTTGTGGTTCTGTACCCCTGTTTGTTTCAGTGGACACTGGCAAACTTGTAGAGACCTGTCTTAAAGAATTACATTTGAGAAATTACCTCTTGCTTTTTTTTCCCCCCACTGTCGTGCTTCAACATGAGTTGACTTTAATGTGTGTTAATCTCTTCCAGATCTCTGTTTAAACTTGCTTTGATTTGTGTTTTCAGTCTTAAACCTAATCAAAGCAATATGGTGTATTCTTTACTACTTTAAAGATCTCAAAGGTCTTGGCTTCAAGCGAAGGTAATGAGGTTTGCAATTTATCAGCATCACTTTTTTTTTAATTGCTCAGAGTAAGATTTTTGTCACTTTTCATGCCAGTGTGGCATTTCCAGATTTTTCTCGTACTGTACCGCTCTTGACTGCTTAGCTGATCAGGAGAAGCACTATAGTCTCTCAAACTCTTCAGCCTGCAGTCAGCTTTTGACTAGCTGTGGTAGGTTATTTGCATTTTGAATTAACTAGATCCTTCTGTAGCCTCCTGGCCTTGTCTACAACTGTGCTGTAAGGGTGGTACAAATGCGTCTGTTTTCTTCGGGCTCTATTATGCCTCCTGTTTAAAGCTGCTCCTGCTCTCTAAGGGAGCTTCTGACAGTGAGTGTACTCGGAACATACTGACAGTTTTAACTCATACTTTTTCTTGAATTTTTTTAAGGTAAATGAAAGAAAAAAAACTGGGAATGTCTGACTTATGGGGATATTTGAGAGCGCTGAAGAGAAATTGTATTTCGATTCAAATTCACCCTTGCTTTAGTCCTCTGCTTTCTCCTGCTCATTTTCGACAGTTTGGGGAAAGGGTTTTGTAGTACAAAGCAGTCACAATGGCTGTACATTTCAAGCTTGATTTCTAACAACTGCATAAAGAAAAGTGATTCAGAAAACCAGCGCAACCTGGCTTTACTGTGTTTAAATACAATTGTGTAATAGTACAGGCCATAGTTTACAGTACAGACTGATTTTGAAGAGGTATCTTTGGGGACAAAATGTGAGTTATTAGGGTTGTGTGGTTTTTTTTTTCCCTCCTTTGGACAGGTATTTTGTCATAATTTGAAATGATCTGAAATATTTGTCTTTTGTTTTCCCAGGTTCCTGTTGCATGTAAATCCTGTCCCTGTGGCTATATATTTATTAGTCGAAAACTCTTGCATGCTAAACGTGCTGAGAGATCACCACCCATCACAGGTAATACTTACAGAGGAGGGGAAGAGGGCACACTGGTTCTTTCCCTTTTATTTCTTGGAGGCAAAAGATAGAATATTTTACTTCTCTCTGTAAATTGACTGTTGTCAGTTTACTTTCCCTTGAATTTGTGCATGGTAGACCTTTAATATGTTAATTTAGCTTGAATTTTGAGGGGAGGAAAAAGCTGGTGTTTTCAGTCTTACTTCCTTTGTTCTGGTGATGTTGGCATTTATTCTAGCTGTGCATATTGGTTACTATGCAAAATAACTCTTATAGAAAGCCTTCTGTTAATCCTATTTTGAACCTAAATGTCTAGAGGTGCCAAAGGGATCAGATTTCAGAGTACATGCTGATTGAAGCTGGGTTTTCTGAAAGTAAAAATCCTTTTTTTGAAGAAGTTATGTTGAGTTGTACTTATTAATGAACACCTGAATTATGCTTTGTATAAAATTTGTTGTACGTTAAATCTAAAACCTTGGGTCTTGCATCTCTCTGCATGGTTAAATTAAAAAAATAGTGGTTTTTTTGTGTCTAATTTGTGTATCTTTTGTTTTTGATGGGCACAGTAAGAAGTCAGTTGAATATGCATTCATATGCATATGAATATGATTAACATTCTCCTTGTGTTCATTTTTATCACTTCCTCCAATCCTAGTAGGAATTAGTCAGAACAAGCACCTGTCAGGGAAGATGTTTAAAAAAACCAACAACAACAAACAAGCAACAAACCAACTATCTGATTTATAATGTCTACTTTTAAAAATTATCTACTAGGCCTACAAAATGGAAACTAGGAAATTTATTTTTTTAATCATTATTTTAAAGTATACTTGTAGTTTACCAGCTTTTAGGAATTACAGAATCATAGAATGGTTAGAGTTGGAAGGGACCTTAAAGATTATCCAGTTCCAACCCCCCTGCCCTGGGCAGGGACACCTCCCACCAGACCAGGTTGCTCAAAGCCCCATCCAGTCTGGCCTTGAACCCCTCCAGGGATGGGGCCTCCACAACTTCTCTGGGCAGCCTGTTCCAGTGTCTCACCACCCTCACAGCAAAGAATTTCTTCCTAGTATCTAATCTAAATCTCCCTTCTTCCAATTTAAAACCATTACCCCTCGTCCTATCACTACACTCCCTCATAAAGAGTCCCTCCCCATCTCTCTTGAGGTACTGGAAGGCCGCTGTAAGGTCTCCCTGGAGCCTTCCCTTCTCCAGGCTGAACAATCCCAACTCTCTCAGCCTGTCCTCACAGCAGAGGTGCTCCAGCCCTCTGATCTTGTTCGTGGCCCTCTGCTGGACCCGTCCCAACAGGTCCATGTCCTTCCTATGTTGAGGACTCCAGAGTTGGACACAGTACTCCAGGTTGGGTCTCACCAGAGCTGAGTAGAGGAACAGAATCACTTCCCTTGACCTGCTGGCTGTGCTTCGATGCAGCCCAGGATGAGCTTGGCTTTCTGGGCTGCCAGCACACATTGCCGGCTTATGTTGTGCTTCTTGTCCACCAGCACCCCCAAGTCCTTCTCCTCAGGGCTGCTCTCAATCCATTCTCCGCCCAACCTGAATTTTTTGCCTGGGATTGCCCTGATCCAGGCGCAGGACCTTGCACTTGGCCTGGTTGAACTTCATGAGGTTCGCATGGGCCCACCTCTCAAGCCTGTCGAGGTCCCTCTGGATGGTACCCCTCCAGCGTGTTGACCTCACCACACAGCTTGGTGGCATCAGGAAACTTGGTGAGGGTGCTCTTGATCCCACTGTCTATGTCTCTGACAAAGTTATTAAACAGCACCGGTCCCAGTACTGACCCCTGAGGAATACCACTCATCACTGGCTTCCACTTGTACATTGAGCTGTTGACTGCAACCCTTTGAGTGCAGCCATCCAGCTGCTTCCTTATCCACTGAGTAGTCCATCCATCAAATCCATGCCATCAGGATGTTGTGTGGGACAGTGTCAAACACTTTGAATGAGTCCAGGTAGATGATGTTGGTTGCTCTCCCCTTATCTACCAATGCTGTAGCAACATCGTAGAAGGCCACCAAGTTTTTCAGGCATGACTTGGCCTTGGTGAAGCCATGCTGACTGTCACCAATCACCTCCTTATTTTCTGTGTGCCTTAGCAGAGGTTCCAGGAGGATCTGCTTCGTGATCTTGCCAGGCACAGAAGTGAGAAAGATTAAATACTTTGCTGTTTGCCTATATGATGAACTTATTTGGCTAGTGGAAACGTGCAATGGGCTATCTTGATGGCTGTGATCTGTACATTTTGGTTTTTTCATCTTATTATGGGAACTGTGAACTTTCTGTCTACTATCAAATATCTCATGTTGCAAAATGCATTTGGAATAATTAAAGGCTTGATCCTTGTAATCAACAAGTGAAGTGTCATTCTGGATTTGACACCTTAATTTCTGCATGGATATTGTGCAAATGTAACTGTTCTGTAAAGGTATAGATATCTAACCACTTTTGCTAGGAGATTTAAAGAAAAAATGTTAGTGGGTGGGGCAAGCACTAAGAGTAAATTAAGAACAAAGAGGAAAAAACATCTAGATCATACCATCTCTATTAATTTGCACAGAAAACAAGAGTGAGGCCAAAAGAAGACGGACAGAGAGAGTTAAACGAGAGAAGATAAATTCTGCAGTGAATAAAGACTTAGAAAACCGAAAAAGATCCAGGTCTAACAGCCATTCAGATCATAGCAGACGAGGAAGAGGAAGACCTAAGAGTGCCTCAGCCAAAAAGCACGAGGAAGAAAGAGGTATGAGAACTGGAGAACTATGTTCATTGGGTTTTCTTTAGGTATTAAGATTATTATTGGGTTTTTTTGGTCAATAAACTGTTATACCATTCAAACCATTTAAGTAACTAGACTATTTCAGCCAATACCCAATATCTTACCATGGGGAAGGGACTGTTTCACATCTGTAGAGACCTCTGGTTTTGTGTTCCAGTGCTTAATTTGAACTATGAAGAACTAAGTCTATATTTTTAGGCACCAGATCAAGTTTCAACATGTAGGTTGACAACCATTGGACTGTAGAGCTTAGTAGGTTTTTTTGCTTTGGTTTTGTTTATTTTCTTTTTGAGGTACTGCTGCTGTATATCATGAAGACAAACAATGTAATGATGCCTGTTACCAGAGTGTGATTACCATGGTTGGACTGCTTAAAAGGTTCTTCGAAACATTTTAGAGAACCAAAGTTAAAAGGGCATCTTGAGTCACTAATATGACCTGAATTTTTGCCCCATGTTTCTAGGGAATAATACCCTAGAGGAAAGAGTGCCCCCTTGCTTATTAAGGTTCCTTGGTGACCTGCTGTTCTCAATCTATATACAATAAAGAGACTATTACGCACAAACTTTTGGAGCCCTTCAAGTATGTGACTCTCACTGAGGATTCTTTTTTTTTTTTGTACGAGACTATCAACACTGCACTTGATATCTATGGTTTTGGAGATAATTTTAGGTTTTAATAATTCAAAACTTAGTATAGTCTTAAAGGCTGTGGAGAGCAGTTAGGAGGGGAAAGGGAAGACTTCATATAAATACTCAGAAGATCTTGTTCTTAAAACTATTGAAACCATCAAGCATACCTTGTGGCATAACTCAGAAATGCAATTGTGGGTTTTTTTGTGTTAACAAACATGGGTGTTAATCCATGTTGCACTAACCAATTTTGTTGTCTCCGCTGTTTAATGTATATCTGTTCATTCTTACAGTTTCTTTCCTATAAAAGCAAAGTATAAATTAGGACTTTGTTGTTTTAGTGCTTTGGCTGGGGGAAGAGGAGTTAGAATTTGATTTCTGTATGTTTTCTGGATGGCAGTTGCTTCACTGTTGCATATAGCTTGTTGATGTATGTAGCTTCACAGAATACAGAGCTGCTCTATTTGTTATTGATCCAAGCTAGGATAATTTCTAGGCATTTTACTGCTAGTCTAGTTCACGCTTTGGTTTGAGCTTGTTTGGTTGCCCTATAAAAGTAAATCTTCTTTCCTGTCCCCTGAAAAAGAGGAAAGCAATCTAAGCAATCAAAAGAAAATATCCATTGTCTTAAAGCATGTTTTATAGTCTCTGAGAAGCAAGAATTTGAAAGAATGAGGGGTATTTAGAGATTGTTTTTCTATTCAAAAGTATTCTGAATGTTTTTACTCTCTTGTTGCATATTCCAAACTGTGACAATATGCCAGTGTTCTGTGGTAGAAAAGTAGAAATACGTATATAGTGACATCTTTGCACAAGAGTGCGTGTGGTGTGTTGTTTTCTTGGTGTTTGGTGTTGTGGTGGTTGTTTTTTGTTTTGCTTTGTTTTGTAAAGTTGAATCTCCCTTGAGAAGTTTGCCTTTATGTTCTTGTTCTACCGTCCCCTTTACTTGGTACTGTGACTACTCCTGCTATTTCTTACTTGACCTCCTCTGTGGAGTTGGTATTGTGCTTGGGTTCACACCCATTTGTAATTATCTTTGCTTCTCACCAGCACAGCACACCTTATTGGTTAGGAGTAAGTGTGCTAGGAATGTTTTTCTTACTTCTGACTTAGTTCTGGTTATGTCAGAATAGTGCATGTAGACCACTGTGGTGATTATTGAGCAGACTTGAAAAAACAAACAAGAAGTTGATAGATATGGCTGTCTTGGCTATAAAAATAAATTCAGCAGAGAACCTGTCATTTTGTAAGTAATTACTATAAAACAAGTTAACATTGACTTCTCCCTTTTCAAGTGGCCTAACTAGTACTTGTGGAGTAATTAGTGGGGTATTTTAGAAATATTCTTCCTTTATTGAACCTGCTGCTTGATAGTGTTGTTTGCATAAAAGCACATTAAGCAACTTTAATTCCTCTACTCAAAGTGATTTCTGTGTGAGTCATTGCTAGCCCTTCTATCAGTCTATGTAATGTCAAAAGTCAGCACAGGAGTGCAAGACATTAGCTTAGTTTTAGACTTGTGGTATATTTTCCTTCCTTGCCTATCTTGTATTTCTAGGATATTTTGTGTACATATTACTTGCCACTAGAGATTGTGCTATTCTTTCCCTCAAAAGACTTGAAGAAAGGCCACTGTTGGCAAAGCTGTTAAATATTTGCTGCTTTTTAGGCTTCTGCAATGCCTAATGCATTTATAGATGAAAACCAGGAGGACAGAGAGTGCCTGAATTATAATAGCATGCAAGAGCAGATAATCTGTCCATTTGGGACAGATGGGAAAATTTTCTTCCCGATGACATCCAGGACATCTGTAGCTTTGCTTCCTTGCCTGTGCCGTGCTCTTTTCATACATAGCGTGCTTGTTCCCAGTTATGTCTGTGCCTTTGACTACTTCTTTTGTATCCTTCATGACTGGTTCACATTAGGGCAAAGAGCTGCAGGATTCAACAGCAATTAAGAAGAATAGGAGAAGCAAAAGGGCCTTTTAAAATAAGCTATTTTTTCTGCTGGTTTAGTAAGAAGGAATGGAGGGGGAGGAAAGAGGAAGCTGCTGTAGATTGAGGGGATATGGCAGAGTACTGGGAACTAGAGAATATTCCTATCACATGTTTCAGACCCATGTGATGACTCTGGAAAACAGGAACTCCTCACTGCAGGCTTGACTTGTCAAAAATGTCACTTAATTTCTTTGTCAGAAGTGCTAGAATATATTGTGAAAATTGAAACTTCATAATAATCTGATTCCGATTTTTGTTGTGATTGTATTTTTTTTTTTTTTTTTATTTTACTGTATGGGACTGTGATACACAGCTAGACAGGTTCCCAGGCTGCTTTATCTAGATAACAACCTTAATTATATTAAAACAAAAAAAAACCCCTCATGTGCTGGAGGAAGTGGTGTTGGTTATTCTGTTCCTGAAAGAGGTTACCATCAAGTGGGACTGAGTAAGAGTTGCCTAGAGTCTATTACTAAAACGTACTTGATACTTAACAAGGGGTGAATCTTTACAAAGATAATATACATTTCAGTATCCTGATAAAACTTAAGATTAATTTCTTCACACGAGTTTTTTCTAGTAATTTCCAACTGTATTACTCATCCATTTGCTTGCCCAGTGTGCACATTTGAAGTAGTTTACTATCTTGGTGAGTGAAACTCAGAACTCTGAATTTTGTATTTGATTTATATATAGATCAGAATTTTAAGGGCTGTGGATCTAGTGGGTTGCAGGAGATCTGGGGATATAAGAGACATGCTACAGAAAAACAATGTTTTCACCTAAATAGCCTACTAGTTGTATATTAAAAGACTTACCATTTTTGTAAGACGTTACAAATACTATTGTAATTCTGTAAGACAATCTGTTGCTAATAATAGAGAAGTGAGTCAAAACTACTTTCAGATAAGACTGTGAAATGGAAAGTTTTAATAGTGTCTGTAGAAACAATGGTATCCTACGAGTAGCATATGGTAAAATGTCAGGCAGGTGCAAGCTCTTCACTAGTTACTGATGAGAACTGGAATTGTCTTAATGCATAAAGCTTGCAAGTCTGTGCTAATCCCTGATACTGTTTGATACCAGGATATCTATTTGTAAAGCTGAAGTCTTGCAGAACAAGGATGGGGGTAAGGGAAATTTGAGAAACTTTTTTTTCCCCCCCTGATTACTGTTAACAGATTGTAGACTTCTTTGCAAAAAAAAAAAAAGCTATTTCTAATCTTGCTGGGTGCTGACATATTCAGGTGGTGGCTAGATTTGTTTGGATCAGGAAGTATGAAAAAAGGGAGGGGTTTAGATATGAAAATAGACAAGGTTAATGTGGAATAACCAGTGTGCATAGCGTCTGTGCTCAGAACAACTCCCAGCATTGTTAATTTGTAAGTGGTGGGAGGGAGGAAGTGGAGCAGCCCAGACTGAGTGTACATATGGAAACTGATTTGTCTTAAACTACAGGGTAGGACTTGGAAATGAAAGCCGAGAAACTGAGTTTCACTGCAACTGAATACACTAGAGAATATTGACTTGTGTAGCCAGGGAACAAGCAGAAATAATTTACATTCCAAATAGCAAACATGCTTTGATTTGTTTTACTTCGCTACGGCAAGATTGTTGTTTTCAGACTAAAAACTGATGCATCTTTGTGTGTCCAGGCTCCTCACTAAGCAATTTTACTTGCAGGGAAAGGTGAACCTATGTGTGATTTTAGTTGTCTAGAAATCTTTAAGTAGAAGATTTTGTTGCCATGTGTCTCTATCAGTATTAAATTGGAACACAGTGGTAAAGGATTTTTCAGGTTCTCCCACTTAGCTGCTTAACACAAGCATTTGACTTCACAGGGAAGGCAGTCTGTTGGAATGGCATCCCTAGCTGTAACACAGACAATCAGATGTGAAGTCAAATCTAAAAGTGTTGTTATGAATATAGATGCATTGAAGGAATAACCATGTGAGTAGAGGGAGATATGAGATGCCGGGATCTTTTTTCCACGGGGTGCTTGCCATTATTTTCCAATGCTGCTTTGTCTTTCACTTGCCTGTTGTTGATTTAGGTGTCTTGGTGGACAGTCTGCCAGTGTGCTATGGTCAAAAAGAGCATGCACATGTGTGTCTGTGTGTTTATGAGACAGAGGAATCTGTCAGGTGAGTGTTGTGTTGTGATTGTAAATTAGTTCAGGCCACTGTGGAAATTGGATTAGAGCTGGAGTTCCACAGCTAGACACCAGCCTTAAAGCTCTGTATGTATTCCTCTCTGTGTCTGCAGGCTTGGTCCTCTGCTGACAAAGCTGGTGTTTGGTTTGGTTTTTTTCTTAATGAGTTGTGTCAGCCACCCATGGCTAGCTAAACTGAGATATATGTAGTCAAGAACTGGAGTGAGTGGTATGTATGAAAGTACTATTTTAGGAGTTTTGTCTTATGCTATAGTGTAACAGTGTACTTGAGCCCTGCAGAGTGGAAACTTCTTGATGGCTTGCTGTTGTGTATCTGTAGCCTTGAGAGAAGCCCCCATCAGCAGAGGGAGTTGGGAGGCTTTCCCTTGCTCAGTGAGGTGTCAGCATTGTGCTGTATCCGGGAGAAGCTTGAAAGGCAGCAGTGTAGAAATCCCGGAGGCGATCGTGGTGACAAATTGGGAACCTGACTTCTGCCATGTATCTGCTCTTTAGTTTCTGTTACTTAGGTGTAAAATGGGATAAAAGTATTTAATGAGGATATGGTAAAATATCTTTGATTTCTAGGATGGGAGGTGTTTATGTAAAAGAAAAAAAAAAAAACCAACCCCGAACTGGAGGAACACTTGAATACTCTTTTGTGCCAGGAGTCAATATAATGTTAGTGACTCATTCTTTCTTTGTCATTAAAGAACAGAAATTCAGTCATGCTTTTGGATGACTAATTCTGACTCTTCTAGCACCTTTGTGTGCCTCCATTCCTTCCTCCTCTCTCAATCCCTCCCCGCATAGGAGTTGATTGTCTAACTTCTTTTCAATTCTAGTACTCCATTCCACATCATTTATTAACTACTATGTACTTGCATTAACTTTGGATAATGGAAAAAGCTTCTAATAGTGACTTTTTTTTCTTCTACAGAGAAACAAGAAAAAGAAGTTGACATGTATGCTAACCTTTCAGATGAAAAGGCCTTCGTATTTTCAGTGGCCTTGGCGGAAATAAACAGAAAAATTATCAATCAAAGACTTATTCTGTAACTTGTAAGCACAATCTGATGCGTTTATATGCAGAATGGCTAGCGTATTTCCAAGGTGTCGTGGACTCTCGGAAAGTGTTGTCTGCACCATCAAGGACCATGCTATTTCCTATATTCTGCTGTTGTTCTTGGAAGTCGAATTCTGTCTCTGCAAGTCAGAAAGAAAGCGTTTGCAAGATTGTGGTATGAAAAAATCAGAAAGCATATATGTTTTACACTTTGAAGACAAATGCTAGACAAATGCACAGAGAGACTGCACCCATTCCAGAGCACTTCTTTTAAATTTGCTGCCAGAAATGCAATATTTTAAATATTTTCAGAAATGAATGATTTTCCTTTAAAATTATATATTTCAGATTTTTCAGCTATATTACAGTTTACGTATGTACAGTTCACATAACTTTTTAATAAATTGATATTCCAATATTTTATTGAACTGGGAATTAAGTACATTTGTGATCCTTAGGGTGTGTTGGTATTCATCCTAGGGATGACTTTAGATTTGCTTTTTTTTTTTTTTATAGGTGTGATATTCCCATAGGAAGGAAATTAAATGGTTTCATTTGGGGGATTATTCTGCTTGATGACTTTGTATTGTTTATGAATTCTCTCCAGAAAATGATTCCCTGTTGTTTTTCAAATATCACATATACTTTCTGTGGTCAGACTCGTGAAGTCTGAAAGGAAAGTGCCTGTTTTGTAACCACTGTTTGCTGGGTATCTGCCTTGTCCAGATGGTAAGTAGACGTGCAGGTTGTATCTTCTTACTGGTATTTCTAAATGATGAGGTTATGCTACTTCCTTTTACTCTCATCAGCTTTTTTTGTCTGTCTTTTAAAAGTGTAATTCTCAGCAGTATTGTCTTTGGACTGTTGACTTTAAATGCCAAAGCAAAAGTCTGGTTGAGTGTGCAAAACTGAACGGTTTTGGTAGAAGTAGGTTTGGGGAAAGCATTCAACAGCGTTGTCTTTGTTAAAGTGGTATAGTGCAGTTTGAGCCAAAACTCTTGCATTAGTAAGCACGTGGGGGGTTTGTTTTACCGGGGGGAAAAAAAAAAGCTCAAGCCCTGTAAAATCCTGAGGGAGGACGTTTAGGAGGCAATTGCATTCATAAAATCTGACACACTAGCTTTTTGCTGCCTTTCATTCACTCTTTTCTAAGAAGGGGAATGCAATTAAATGTCTTTTTAAACACTTAAAACACTAAATGTGGGTTTTTTTCAGTATTACTCATGCTTTTCAGTATCACGTTACTTTAATAGTGAGAATTACCCAGTGAGGTTCTGCTACAGAGCTGATTTCTGGGTAGAAGCAGATTTTTATTAATAAAGCTAGACGATCAAATACTGATTGTTTATTAGTTATTGGTTAAAGGAAGGAGCTATGATGATTTTAAGCCATAAGGGACTGATCAGACGCAAACTTTGTTAACAAAGGCAGGAAACAGGGAAAGTGATTTTTAATTTTTAACTCCCAAGAAGTAACTGGGTCCCTTTCAACACTGGACAAGATGAATGGGTGTGGAAATGCACTTAAACCACTAATCTACATTTGTCTTTATTCCAGTAAATGAGGAATTGCGAACACAAGATCTACTTCCCTACATCATGTAGACTTCTGCTTTCCAGAACTGTAGCCTGTCACAGATACCAGTAGTAAGGACAGATGAGTAACTCTTGAGATTAGAGTATATGTTTGCATGGTAAGTTATTAAAGTCAGAATGACAAAAGGGAAGTTCTGATTTTGAAAACTTAAGGTTACGATCAGGCGTGTGTTGCTTCTGTTGCTAGAATGAAATCTACTGTGTTAAGGGACAAAGGGAGCTACTAATGCAGGCTCTGGTGTTGTGATCTGTGTTCCCACAGATATCTATTTATTTCTGCTCCTGTACCTGTAATTAAAGTTATCTTTAGGGGACTGAAGTTTAATGTTAGATGTATGTTAGATGTGACAAAATTTAACTTACGTGTTTTACATTTAGATGATAAGTACTGCAAAATGCATTCATACCTTTCAAAAGTTGAAGGCTGTTTTTTCTCCTCTGTCGGTGGAGGCTCTCTCGAAACGGTGGTTTGAGTTAAATTTATGTACTTCTTCCCTTTTGTCTTACCCACGTCTCTGCTGTCAGCTCTTTCCCACTTGTGGTCATGCTATCTTTCTTCCCCTGCTATCTTCTAGTTTCTTCAAGAAAGCTGCGGTGGAAGCAGGCAGCCTTGAAAGTACCCCAGGGAGAGAGTGCTGCTTTGCCAGGGGATCTTGCAAAGCAAGAGTCCTGACTTTCTCCCCAGAAACAGCCAGAAACAAACCATTCTTTCCTGTATAGACAGGACACTTCAGTATCTTCCCAAAGCCCTGGTAACTCTGGCTGTGGTATCTGAGGACATAGCTTTACTGGAACATATTCAGTGGCTGAACTGGAACGCCTCTGCATTGTGTGAAATAGGTGTCAACCCGGTGGCATCTCAAGAGCTCACTCTTTGTGTGGTAGAGATGATCAATGGATGAAACACTGTGGCAAATCATTGTAGATCATAGTTGTAAAATGTGTTGGATCACTAACGAAACTAAAATAAAGCCAGTGACAGCTAAATCATGAGAGATAATGTACGGCAGCTTGGTCTTTCTTTAGAACTGCATAGTTTCCAAGAAACAAGAATAAATATGTAACACTTCAGGAAGCTGCTTATGCAACACTTTTTTTTTTGTCTAGTTCCAGTATAAGGATCTTAGGCCCTGCCTTTGAGTGTCTTTGTGATTCAGTTCCACTTAATTTGTTTCACTGCATTTTGTAGCATGAGAAAAATAATCTTCTTTGAGAAAAAGTGAATTAGGCTGCCCTTTTTTTAATTAACTCAAAAGAAGACCAAGTATGTCACCACCACAAAATTACCACTCCACCTCCATATGATCTCTACATGTTGACTTATCTGACCAGATGAGCTTGATGTTGTGAACTGAATAGTTTAGGATTGTACTGTAGAACTGCATATTTATAAGCCACCATCTAGCAGGCTCTGTTTTCTGCCGCTGCTTTTCCCCCTTTCTTCTGAAGAAATGTGCTTCCGGTGTCGTATCTCTGTAACAGCGTATCAGACCATCAAGCAGGTTCACAGTTCAAACTCTGCCTTGAGATTCCTCTGCATTTACTCTGTTGTGCTACTAGATGGCAGCCTTATGCCAAAGACAGTTACTGTCTATTCAGGCGTTCTTACTATTGCTACTAGGAAAAGCATGGTATTCCCTTTTTGGTGAAAATAATATTATTTTTCTTTAGAACGTCACTTACTCATACCTTACTTAGGAGGTTAAAATCCTGCTAATGGGTATTACTAGCAATTTGCACCCAAAGTAGATGGCTTCGTTAGTTGTGTGGGATGTTAGCTTTTGAGCTGTGAAAATTGGCTGAGATTAATAATTTGTTAAGATGAAAGAACTCTGAACTTTCAGTTGGCAATTTAATAAAAAATGGTTGAAGGAAAAGGTTCTTCACCTCCCATGGAAGTCTTATATATGTAAGTTTTCTTTGGTCAAATTTTACAAACATCTCTAATTTTCCTGTTATTTTCACTCTAATACTGTTATGATTGATTAAAGAAAGTTGAAAATGGGGCAAGGTATTGGGGATTTAGTCGCAGATTGACATCACCCTGTGGTTGAGCAGCAAGATTTACAAGAGGGAGACTCGAATTGAGATATTTGCTTCAAATATCAGGTCCTAAACAAGGACTTTGGGTTGGTTTTACTTAGTGTTTTAAAAATTTTTGAGATTTCTTAGCTTTTTTTAGAGAGAAACAGTGATTGATGTAGGCTGTTATCAGCACAGTGTCTTCCTGGTATCTTGGGCTGTATTGTTGTGGGTGCTTAGTATCTTATTGCCTAACAGGACATGATGCTTGACTTTTGTTCTTTAAAAATACTGATAACCTTTATGGTATTGATAACCTGTGATTAAACAATGTAACCTGAAAGCAGTCTTAAACCACTGTTTAGTTTAAAGCCTTTCTGAGTTGCTGTTATCCCAAACGTGGGCCCCCTGCGTGCATGAGCGTGTGCAGGTATTGCTGGTGTCCTGGTTTGTATCTCTAGGTGCATCTATGGTTTTGTTTGAATTAGGAGTGTGTGTTTGAAGCAAATCTTGTGATAGTCTCTACTTCCAGTGCTTGTTTGCGTCACAGAATGGTCTTGGGGAGCAGAAAGTAGATTCCTTTTACAATAAAATGACCTTGAAGATGTCCTTCAGCTGTTAGTGCTTAGTCTGCAGGACCAGGTCTGCCCATAGCAGGTGTGGGGCTCTCAGTACCAACTGTTTCACTCTACAGATTTCCACTTCTCTTGCTTCTTGCTTATTATGAAAATATAGCAGAGCAAATGTTAACGAGTCTAACCAACACTTTCAGGTGAGTTGTCACTCTTCAAAGTATTAGCAATGTCATCAGTGTATTGTAAGCTTTAGGCTTCCTACTTTATTTCACTGTAGGTTCGGATGAATATCCTGTAGCATATTTAACTGTAGCATTTCAAGATGTTGCTTTCCCCAGTTGTTTGCCTACCCTTTTTGGAGGCTGTCACTAAGGTAGCAGTGATGGTAGGACAGCTGTAGTAAGTTATAGAATAATTTTTTTTCCTTTCTTTTAGGCTGTCGCTTTCAAAATTCACTAGTGACTGCAGAAACTCTGGCTGCCCTAAAGTTATATCTGATTAAACAGTTCGTCTACTTAAAGTAGTTGATACGAAGGTGATCAATTTTGGTGCCTTGTGGTTGATCAGACACTACAGAAATACACAATGTATTATTTCAGTAGATACTGTGAATTCATAATGAACTAAAAGTGTCTGTAAATTAATGTACTAGAGTGGGATTTTTTTTCTGCTCTTCAGTAAGAGCTGTTTGTATCTGCTAGCTATTGAATAGGGGCTCCAATCTAAGTTAAAAGCAAGAAATTGATTAGGCAGAGGACAGTGGAAATAGATAAATCTGTGTATTTCTTTTTTTCTCCAGAAGAAAACTTAAACCTGCTTTCGCCGAAGTTGTTTAATTTCAAGTTCAAAACATGATTCTCATGAATCATTTGGTGTCGTCATGCGGCGCATCCCCCAGGAAGAGGTCAGGTACCCCTCTCTCATCTTCCCCTCACCCCCCACAGGCTGCTTTTCTTGGTGCTTCTTAGCTTTGTACATAGAACCTGAACTCCATCTTATAAAAGTTAGTTTACTGCTTTTGGTCTCTTACTGTGTGTTATTTCTCTTGGTCGTAACTTGGTCTTTAATTTTGTCATAAGGGTTAAGAAATAACTACTATTTTTAATCCTGGGTAGTGTTGAAGACCATAAAGTGCGGTTAAGAACAGTCAGTGTTCCAGATACCAGGAGTACAAACATTAATAGCCTGGCAACTTTCCAAGTCTCAGTGGTTTTTGTTTTGTCTTGGAATAAACAACTTTGGAATATTTTATTGAAAATATGTTGCTAATAAAGAAAAATCTTCAGATGGGGATCTGAGTTGCTTTCTTTGGAGAAGTTGTGGAGCGGAATGTATGTGTGTGAACATGCCCATGCAAGCACCTGCAATGAGGAGATGGGTGCTGGAGGCTGCTGTGCAGGTGGTCTGGGCTCCAGGGTCCTGATCCTCAAAAACCAGCAAAGCAGCATTTCATCTAAGGTCACTGAACTGGCTAGAGCAACAGGTGAGCCAGGAGTTCTGGTTTTCAGTAAAATTAATAAATGATACTGAGTCCTAACACTGTTTTTTTACTGGCACTGCACGGTAGTTTGTAATATATTCAGAAGTAATTTTTATTGATTAAATTTACTACTTTAGCAGTTAAATTAAAATAATTCTAATGTATTGAAGACATTTTTATTTAAGTAAAGGGATACAGTTTATTAACAGCATAGTTTCTGAATCTTTGGATCTAGTGTTGTCATAACATGCATAAGAGCTGCACTAGATATTAAATCAGACAGGTACTGTCTTGCGAAATGACACAGTGTCTTGAAGGTAGTACAGGTTTTGTCTTGAACACCAGACAGAAGTCAGAGAAAAGGCAGGAGTGTAAGAAACTCTTGAAGAGAATAACTGTTACTTTGAATGAGACTGTCAGCTGGAGGACTTTATTAAACCATGAAATGTTGATGTGTACTTCGAATGAAGTTAGAAATGCAAGGTGTTTTGTTTTTTGTTTTTAAATTCACTAGGGAAACTATGTTACTGTAGAATGTTAAGAAATAATTGCATTTTACTTCAGCTTTCTTGAACAGTGGAGAATAATGATTACTTCCTATCATCTTGAAAAAATAACAAATCTCTCTGTTCTTTAAGACAGCAATTCCAAAGAATGAAAAACAATACAGTAAGTTGAGATACTTAAGCCATTGAGATATATCAGGTCTTTGCCAAGTATTAATTCAGAGTTTGGTCCTGTAGTTTTACCTCTTAATTCTGTTGAAAATGAAGAAACTAAATAAAAAACCTCTAAAAAAAAAAAATTTAAAAAAAAATTGTACAAGTAGAATTCCCCACCAAACTGAGTGGACAAATGCATCCTAAGGTTTGAAGATGAGCATTAGAATTTACTCTTATGACTTTTTTTTTTTTTACTGTGACAGGTCTTGACATCCAGTGAGAAGTTTTCAAGAAAGTACTTTTAAAACAAATTGTTTATTTAACTGAATGTTTAAAATGATGGAAAGTCTTTCTGACGCTTACTTAGAGGAGTGTTTTGAAAATAGTACCTCAAAGCAGTGAATAATGGGCTAAACAGAAATTGAGGAAGAACCCTAATTAAGGTAAATAGTGATAGCTGCATTCTGAAGAATAGCCTAACTGTCCTGATAGGGAAGTGTCCCATGGCGTGTGGGATTATTCATGAGTCTAGTCACTTCTCAATGTATTTTTCTTTCATTGTTGCTTATGCTTGTTTTAAAAAGATCGGAGAGTCTTACCCAAAATATTTAGCTTACATTTCTTGGCGCTGACCAAATTATGGACTTGGCAACTTGTCTGATGTTGCTTACAACATTCACAGTGCTATCTGCTGGCACACAGTTACTTAGCAACAGTGAAGCTCACGTTTATGTACAGCTCATGCGTATGCATCTAAATGTAGTTCTGGAAAAAAAAAAGGTTAAAGGAGTACAGAGTTTGGAAAAGGAAACAGATACTTTAACAAACATTTTGTACTCTTCAGCAATTTTGATTTTGAGGCTGATGGCAGCACTACATAGGAAAATACATTGTTTTGTCTTTTAAAATCTGTATTAGATTGTTAATGTATTACAATAACTTGAAAATAAAATGAACAGAATCCTACTCCTACTGACTGTAGAAAGATCAAAAATGAAACCACAGCAAATGGAAAAGAGCAGGGAATATGTTATATTTTGAATGTCTGTGTTACAGATGCATTTCTGGGAAACAAGAAGATTAATTATTTGAACATGGGGAATGTGAAAATGAATTACTGCCTGCTTCTGGGAAACATGTTTGATCTGCACTTCTCACTATTGTAGGAGTTTTTTGAAGGCAAGTGGAGGAATGATTTGAAATTCTTTTAGCTTCAGGTTTTTACAAAATGTTGCTTCTTCATATTAAAAGCTAACAGGCTGTTGAACAGTAAATCTGTGTTCCAACAAATGCTTTACAAAGGAGAATAAGGTAAAACTAGAACAAATCTTTTTTTTTTTTTCCTTTTGCTGTTTATTCCTTCACTAGCAGAGACTAGAAGGGTGCAGGCACTGTCTGCCTCAGCATCCCAGGCTTCTTGGCCAGAGGCTGACCTGTGTAACAAGGCTCTGTGCTATACAGGAGTAGAAGGTTACTACCCAAAAACTGTCCCCTATCCTTACAGGGAAGGCCTGAATCTGTTCTCCTTTGGACCCTTTTTATGACCCACAGAACCACATTTGCTATGTAGTGTGGTAGTCTTTGAATGCAAAATCATCCACACATGTGTGCCAGGAGACCAAGTAGACACTGAGTCACTTTGTCTCTTTTCATTTGTTTTTATGGTGATTATAGCTATTTTCTAAGAGTTCACTAGGTAAGTTGGCTTTCATGAGTTTATTCAGCTGCAGACATTATACCCATCCGCTTCGGCAGCTGGAACAAAAACAGAATAATGAAAGAATGAAAATCTGCTGACAGTTGTACTTGCGTTTGTGAAAGCAGGAATCATAGTGCAAATCTTTGTGGGCTAATGAAGTTAAAGCAGGGCTTTAGATACTCTTCTCTTTAACAAAAGCAGCCTGCCTAAAGCTGTCTCGGCAAGTGTTTTCCTTCTGAAACAATGAGTGAATGCTACAGGTTTAAAAATGGAATATAATTTATGAGGCTCTTAGCCTTAGCGGATGAGTCCTTGTGTAAACTTTTTTAAATATAAAATTAATATTAATGAGGTGGGGAGGCTTTCAGACCCAGCCTTTAATACTAATCCATTGTGAGTGGAGCAGCTCTAGAAATGTGCTGATACTGGCACAGAGACAACCAGGAATTGACTGCTCTTAGAAAACGCCTCATCAGTCCAAGTCCTGAATACTTGTCCTGATCAGACACAGAAGGGGACCTGAACACTTCCAGTATCGATACTCTGCCTGCTGTTCTGCCTGCATTTCCCTGGGAACACTCCTGTATGCTGGCGTTCAGTTCTAGCTTGTTGCATGGATGGAAGCGTAATGAAAGGGTAAGCTATTGGTGGAGTTTGGAAATCCCTTTTGGACGAGATCTGTGAACCTTCAATTAGTTGTTTTGGGCATAGTTGTGATGAGTTAAGCTGGGTGGCATCACTGTTTGTAGCTCTCTGCCCCTTATTAATGACAAAAAGGCTCTAAAATACTTAAGTAATTTAGTAATTCTTAACTGTGTATGAAAGCAATGTGCCAAAAGACTAAAGCTTATCTTTATTCATTTTCAGGGAGGACAATAGTGTGTATTAGCTGCCATTTAACTGCTTCAGCTAAGGAATGTTGTTTAGGTTATAAATTTTCTGAAAATGGGATGTGTTTGTGGAGCATTGCACCTCCTCCTAATTCATGGAGGCTGATGCTGGGAGATGAGAGAGGTCACCTCAGAAATGCTGAGTCCTTTCATTTAGCTCTGTAGTTAGTGCAGGAATTGGCATATCTGTCAGCAGCTGCCTGGGGAAGCTAGCAATAATTAATAGCCTCTTAACATTGCCTTTTTCCTCTTTTTCCTCATCTTGGTCTTTGCTCCAAATGCATTGATCTCACTGTCAAACAGCTCTCTTGGTCTGAAAGTGGCATTATGGAGTCTAAGTATAGCAGACTCAAAGGGTTGTTCTAAAAGCTAAAGTACTAACCTTGATCTTGATTTCATTTATTGGGCATTACTTGAATCGTTTTTGGAAAAGCTTTGTATTTATTCTGGAAGTAAATGATGTCTAGTGACATATATACAATCTACATTGACATATATGTGAAGCGACCACTTTCCTTGTCTCTAGCTCTTAGTATTTTAGGATAAGGCACTAAACTCCGTTTTTCCTTTTATGTAAAATCCACTAGACTCTTCTCTAGTACTAAAGGAAGTGTTGTTCTGTGTCTATTGCCTGTTTTCTGCCTCCAGCAATGCATTCAAATTTGGGAGAAGCGGACCACTTCCTTGTTGTGGATTGGATGTTCTATAGTTGTTACTGATCTGTTGCTTTTAATACTCTTCTGAAAACAGAGTCAGAATCGGCATTGTAAGACCTGAAATGAAAATGTGGGAAAGAAAAGCTCCAAATGTATTTTTTTCAGACGTTAAAATGGAGAAAAAGCAAAGACTGGTGAAGCTCCTCATCATAATAATTATATTCTTAATATTAATTAATGAAAATACTGCAGGAAGGTGTTGTTTTACACTACAGTTCTGTATTTAGATCTGCTAATGGAAGGTCGCAGGCTGAGCATTGCTTGTTCCGCACTGCTTGCCAAATTTCCTAAAGGATTCTCTTTGTCATGCAAGCTTTCCCCTGTGGCATGGCGCTTACATGCTGTACATGCCTTTGCTGCCACATTAAGTAATAGCATCTCTTTATTAAATCTGGAGTAACAACAAGATTATTTGTGCTATTGGAATAAGTCACAAATGTATTCAAAATGCTTTTTTTTTTTAATTTTATTTTCCTACTCTGCAGCTAGGGATCTCCCAACTCATCTATTAAACACCACACCTGAATAGCTGTAGTATTTGTTGTGTTCTTAGGATCTGGACTAGGGGTCTTTAATTCATACAATGTTAGATGTTAATAAAGAAAGCTTAAGGCTGTGTTTGTGAGCTTGATGCCCATGTGGATAGTCTCCTCACCCATTGAGAGTGGCTGGATAGCATTCCCTCTGTAAATGCCAGGAATACTGCTGGGGGTGCTACCACAAAGTCTGCAGGAACAGCCTTGCCCTGTCCAGGCACCAGGGCTCAGCAGTAGGGTCCCTGCTACGGCTCAGAAGACCCCCCTTTTCCTGTACCACCCTATGGAGCTAGAGGATGCATCTAAACAGTTTTGGGGTGGTTTTGACCTAGGAATTATGGGCTGGGTTTGCCTTTTACAAGAGGGAATCGTAATAACAGGTTCTAAAGCTCTAATAATATTCTGTGAGCTAGGAAGAGTTTAACAGGTGGAAAAGCCGGGGCACAGAGATCGAGTTAGAAATTACGCAGGAGTCTGACAGTTGAGACAGACCTCACATTTCTGAAGGTCTAAGTCCAGTGTCTCAGGCAGCCTCAGGTTGCCTATGTCCCTTTGCCAGGATGTTAGACTACTGACCTCTTGGGAAGAACTATCTCACCTCTATGGGCTGTGGTCAAATCCTCCGGTACCCCAGGCAACCTCTGGCCTTTTCACTTGTTCGTTGAATGGCCTGAAAAACATCCCCTGCCAGGCAGTGAAAAATAGTTGCAGCACAGCAGCATTGCCATCTCCTCTCTGGCTTTTGCCCTGTGAGAGTTCCTCATTCACCTTAATTCACTGGTTTTGTCTGTATTCACATTGGTTTGGTTTTGTTTTTGTTTTCTTTTAACAGCGTATGGGTTATCTTGCTGTACAGACCCAAGTGGAAACGAGGCAGTTGTGTTTGCTGTGAGAGGGGTAGCCAGATCTATACCCACACTTCTGGACCTGACATCTCTTAGATCGTAATGATAAAGGTACGGTATCTTACCTCCATTACTTGCTTGATTATTTTAGGGGGGAGTGCACGTGCACTCATCCTGTGGTAAAACGCACTTCTCTCTTCATTTAAGCAGTGAAGGCATGGCCCATGCTAAGCCCAGGTACTGCTGAGATGCCTGTCCATCTGCTTAAAGGCTGCTGGTCCATAGTGAGTGGCTGTGACTTTGTGTACCCATGCCCAGTGTGATTCTGGTTAATGTTAGATCACTTGTGATCAAAAAAAGCTAATTCTGCTGTAGCTTATTGGCAGAGTGGGAAAGGAAGGCACAGCACAGATGAAAATTTTAAGTAGGTTTGCTTCTACTTCTACAGAACTTCTTAGGTCATCCAGCATCTTGCTATCTGTTGTCTTTGTGTATTTGTACTCCTCTGACGCAATCTTATTGGTAAGAACTCAACAAAATAAATGCGTTTTTAACAGAGGGCAAAATAAAAAGGAATTCAGTAGTTGGGGGCCAAATATGTGAGAAGGAACATCATTTGGCTGCATTCTGGGTGCTTATTAATCTAACTGTGTAGGTAGAAAAAAAGGTAAGAGATTCTATATCTAGAGGCTCACAAATATGCCTATGTGGACTTCATGGCAACATAGATTACCTCTGTTTGGCTGTAAGGTGTTTTACAGCCTGGAGTGAATGGCTGAGTGTTCATAGCATCAGACTGTAGAAGCAGTGCTTGAAGACATCAGTGGATATGGAGGATGAATATTTGTCCTTTTTTGTGAATTCTTCTGTTCCCTCTGTTCCTACGTTACCGCTTAAGAAACTGGAAATAAAAAATTATGTGTAATAATCATATGATGTTAAAGCAAATACCCTGCAGTAATAATTGGTGTCACTGAAAAAAAGAACAGCAGTCAGATAAATGACGGTCTTGTCACTGCTTGGCTGAAGCAAGCGTTGTCCTTAAAGCAAAGTTAAACTGGGCAAAAATAAACTAAGGAACAGAGAAATGTTCAGAAGGGACTCCACTGACTCAAGAGATTTGGCTGTCGTCTTCTGTTGTTTCCGTGCCTTACAGTAGCTGTTATCAGTAAGGCAGGAAGTGAGCTGCTGGGATATGGATAGAACTTAGTGCTCCTGATAAGGGAGTGAAATGATTGAAATGCCTGGTGTAGTGTTAGATAAGATGAAATGCCTAGTTTATCTCACGAGCAGAATTCTAGCAAGATCTGGGGAGGCTGTGCAGCTTTATTCAGTAAAAAGCCGCAGGGTACCTGGGTGACCGCCGTACAAGCCAAACAGGATGGGAACTTTATATCAAGAATCTTCCGTGTACAGATCCCTTCGTTTGAGCATGGGAGGATTTTGTGTTTCTGATTACATAAAGAGATTTACGGTAAGGGACGACCTAGTGTTT